AATAAAGCCTTGTGAATATGAATCGTCTGTAGCTACTGCCATTATCCCACAATTTCTAATAAAAAACTTTTACAAGTTCTATAGATGGGTGAAACCTTTCGGTTGCTAGATGTTACAAAATTGCACTGGGAGAGAACGATCGTTTTCCAAAGTAGAATTCGATCCCAGTTGATTACCAACACAAGGGCTCAGGTTTCGATTTAGATTTCTGAAGAGCACAGTCACGGAAACCTGTGCGGTGTATGCAGGGAATGTTGATGAATGATATCTTTCCGTAGCAATCGCTCCAATTCTGCAGTAACTGTGTACAGAATCCGTGGCTAATAATAGTAAATCTGTGGTTCTTCTGGCATGGTGCGTAGGACGTTTTTTTATTGTAGCACATTACCTGACAAACCTTTTTATTATTTGCGCGTAGACCCCTCTCAGATCCCGTACTGTACAGCAAAGGTGGTAAAATGGCTAACATCACAAACTCAGTTCAGTGATCATTTCATTACTGAAGGCAATGGAGTGGGCAAAATAGATAGAGCGTATTTTCCGGACCATAAGGCGCACTTAGAAGCCTTTAATTTTCTCAAAAACAACACTGCGCCTTATATATCGATAAATTTTGCTTACTGACATCCAAGCGATTTTGTGTGGTACACGGTGCCGCGCTGTAATTATGAATGCGTTCAAGTAAGTTTGACTGAGTGACTTATCGGGCTGTTTTGTTTCTCTTAATGCGCTTTACAGTCCGGTGCGATTTATTGAAAAAAAACTATTCATTGACATTGCGCCCTGTAGTGCGGGAAATGCGGTAATCTTCAAATGTGATGCTCGTAAGGAAGAAAAATTGCTGAATAACAGGGGTGTACTGTTTAACGCCCACGCACCGACAAAGTTTGGCATAGGAGTGGGTTGCGCATAGGTCTGCCACGCGCCCAAACTGATAACCAGGAAAACAGACACCGTGCTAACGTCTGCCCTCAACTCTCCTGTGGCGGCTTATGCTATCGCGGGAGAACCCTTCTGGAAAATGCTCGATGCAGTGAGCTTCCTGTCTCACGCTTTCAACTGCCATGATGGCCTAATTGCTGCACTTCCACGTCGAGCTCCTGTGTAAAACACCCACTCGTAGATTTTGCCCGACTTTCGTTCCCCTCTCAGGATTTTAGCCGCCTGAAAAGAATTATTCAATGGTGGAGGAACGTATAATGCGCAGATCGGGAGCAGAGATCACGCAGCGGTGGCGTGTTGGTTGCTGACGCACGCGTGAATTTGATAGGTGTCCTACTCCAACCACGCGTGAACGGTGGAACCATGCGTGGAGATCGGGTCATGTATTTTTTTGGCCGCTGAGACGTGGTATGTGGATTAAAACGAGAGACCGGCTTAAGTGCACCTTTGCAAGCCAAACAGCCATTGAACACAGACACCGCACGACGGAAGACGAGCTCGGGATCTTAAGTGTGGTGTCGGACAGACAGTAGGCACACCGTGGATCGATTCAGGACGTTTGTACATCCAAGACTGTTCGGCTGAAGGTCGCATATAATCAGCTCACACCACTGGAGCAGGTTACCGAGCGCATCGGTTGCCGCGGAAGCTGTCGTGTGGATCGTAATACTTTAATTGAAAAGTTTTCAGTGACTACTTACATTTACTCCACTTACTGGTTGTCTCTTCTAGCTCTTTTGCCTAAGAACCGAACTGCAAGCAGGGATAACAAGTAAACTTACTCAAGGATGGTTACCGGTCGGCGTGTCACAGTGCCGTAGGCGAATCTTGCGATAATAATAACAATCAGGTTTATTTGTAGGGCACATCTTGGGCACCGATGCGATAGATCTCCATTCTCAGCGCCTACATAGCACTGCCGCGAATGAAGCACGAATTTTTATTCGTCAGATGCAAGGGTTCGTCTGTTTCACCGTTAAACAGCACTGATAATCAGTCACCATCTAACCGTTCTAACCCATAATCAGGTTCGCATGTAGAGCTGCCATTTACACTAAAAGGCACACAAGTCCACACAGGAATTTTGGCTGTAAAACCATTTAAGGTTAGGAATTACGCATATGACGCCTGTGGCAGGATATTGGAGAAGGAATTGCCTGTAATACACATAGCTTCGCGGTAAATTCGGGTTAAGGTTAGTTTACAGTAGACGCTAGTACGAAG